ATTGGATAAAATAATAAATAAATTTATTTGGGCGGGCAAAAAACCTAGGATAAATATTAAAACATTACAAGATAGTAAGAGTAGAGGGGGTCTTGGACTCCCTAAATGGGAAATCTATTATTATGCGGCAGGATTATTATGGATCAAAGATTGGATAAACTTGGATAATGAAAGGATATTAATGATTGAAGGACATGATTTACAGGCCGGTTGGCATGCATTTTTATGGGCCTCTTGGTTTGTTAGGGTGTTTCTTATAGAATCTATTAATGAGTCTGTCAGCTTTTATATCACTAGATTTTACTCAGGTGGCCTAAGACAACGGATATCCCTTCCATTGCACTAAATACTGCAATTTCTATTAAAACGTCTTGAATCAAGAATACGCCTTACTTCATAGTGAGTCTGTCCTGCCACTATGAGAGGTCCCAGTGCCTTCTTGGGGGGGTTTTAAGGTGGAATCTCGAAAAGGTTTCAACAGGCTACAATGGAAAACAAGGTGAACTTTCCCTAAGAACCTTGGAAGTTTTAATTCTGTGACCGGGTTAATGATCTTTACAATAGGGAAGGGTCCTAAGTACTTCGGTCCTAACTTTTTATTAGGTAACTTAAGCCGTAAATACTTAGTTGACAGATAAACCTTTTCCCCAACTTGAAAGGTCCTTTGAGGAGCCCTTTTCCTATCTGCCTGTTTTTTGTATGTCTCGGAAGCCTTTTTCAGAGCGTTTTTTGTGGTTTTCCAGAACTCTTCCCACCCGCTCACCCATTGATCAAGAGTCTGGGAAGCGGAGGGTCCTTGGGGATATTCGGGTATTGGGCTGAATTCTTTTCCTGTGGCCACTTTAAAAGGCGTGGCACCTGTGCTGCTGTGAACAGAGTTATTGTAAGCCACCTCTGCGAAAGGGAGGAGGTCAGTCCAGTTCGTCTGTTGGTAATCGACATAGCATCGGAGATATTGCTTCACCATTGAGTTAGCTGATTCAACCGCCCCATTGGTAGATGGGTGAAAGGCCGATGACAGTCCTTGAGATGAGCCAATTAGTTTGAGAAAACTCCTCCAAAACCTAGCTATAAACTGCACCCCCTGTCAGAAATTATTAGTTTGGTGCACCATGCAGTCTGTAGACGTGTTTTAGACGTCTTGGTCAGTTGTTGGGCAGACGGGAGTCCTTTGCAGGCAATAAAGTGAGCCTGCTTCGAAAACAGATCTATCACAGTCCAGATAGCCATATTTCCCCTACTTTCAGGTAGGTGTACTATAAAATCCATAGCAATTTCTTCCCATAGTTGGGAAGGGTCCACCCCCGGTAGCAACAACCCAGGGGGTTTCCCTGGAATTCTTTTCATGGTGGTACATACAGCACAACTCTGGACATAGTTTTTCACGTCCCATTTCAATCCTGGCCACCAGAATTGCCGGCGGATGAGGTGTAGAGTTTTTATATACCCAATGTACCCAGCCTGTTTTACGTCATGGCTGTGTCGGAGAGCATTAAGGCAGAGGGTCTCTGGCAAGTATAACTTTCCCCCCTTATAAGCCAAACCATCCCTGCATTTTAGGGAGGTTTGATTGTCCTTGAACCATTGGTCGATGAGGAGCTCTTGTTTTATTTTCTTTGCCCCAAAGTCATTGGGGTTTGGGGCTCTTGAAGGTGGGACTCTGTGTGGCGTGAGTTGAGAAGCAGTTTGTGGATTGGAGATAATTACCTCATTAACCTCTTCACGCTGGCTTTTGTACTGGGGCAGTCTGGATAGAGCATCAACTAAGAAGTTTTTTCCTCCCGGTATGTACTTTAGGGTAAAGTTAAAACGGTTAAAGTACTGCACCCATCGCACTTGTTTCGGGGACAATTTGCGGGGAGTTTTCAGTGCTTCTAGATTTTTGTGATCAGTCCATACCTCGAAAGGCACCTTGCTCCCTTCTAGATAGTGTCTCCAGTTTAATAGAGTCCAGCGGATTGCAAAAGCCTCCTTTTCTCACACAGCCCACCTCCTCTCGCACTCAGTGAATTTTTTCGAGGTGTAGGCACAGGCTTGTAGGGTTCCACTCTGGTTCTTTTGCAGTAGTACAGCTCCGATGGCCACGTCACTGGCATCGGCTTGAATTACAAAGGGCTTCCCTGGGCAGGGATGCTTTAAGACCTATTCAACAGCAAATAGTCTTTTTAAGTTCTCAAAAGCGGTCTGACAGCTCATAGTCCATGCTAGTAGTTGGCCCAGACGTGGCTTTCCTCCCTCTTTGCCTGTTTTTAGTAATTCTGTAAGGGGTAGGACAATTTCGGCAAAGGAGGGGATGAATTGACAGTAGAAGTTGGCGAATCCTAGGAAGCTCTGGAGCTGTTTGCGAGTCTTTGGAGGCTGCCATTCAATTACGGCTTTCACTGTCGGGTTCATTTCAATGCCCTCGCTGAAATTCTGTAGCCAAGATAATCTAGTCGGGTCTGGTGAAACTCACACTTTGATAGTTTGACATAAAGTTTGGCATTCAACTGTTTCTTTTTTTTTTAAATAAATTTTTATTGATTTTTCATTAAAAAACAAAAACATAAATCTTTTATCACAATATCAACCCAAAAAAGAATCAACACTAATCAATACATTCACGGACGTGCCCGGTGTCCCCCTCCTGCACCACCCTCTCACTTACCTACACCTTTCTCCTCCCATCCTACCACCACCCCTCCTTCCTCCCTCTTTCCTACCTCCCTTTCTCTCTCAACCATCCCGTCAGTGCAGTTGGGGTATCACCGGGCACCTCCTTAAAAAATCATACATATATATACATATAAATCTATAATACCAACCTACCCCTTTCCCCCCTCCCCCCCCAGGACTTCCCAAAGCTAATCTAGGAAATAAATGCATAATCATCCAATTCTAATCAAAACTACTCAATATTACTACACACTAGTACAAAATTGCTGTGACTCTAAAATAACATTAAATTACAACAACAACAACAAAATTTCTAGTTATATTATATAATATACCTATTTTTCTTCTAAGTTTTTAATCAAAAGCTACATAATAATTTTTCAGTTCATACTTTCTCTGAATATAATCTATCCATCTTCTCCATATTGCAATAAATTTTTCCTGAGAATGATCCTTCAGGTACGCGGATATTTTTGCCATCTCTGCAAAATATGATACTTTCTACAGCACTGGAGATGGATAATCCACGATAGGGTTAACTTAATCCTCCTGCCCAATCAGATCAAGTCAGCCAGTTTTCGACTTGATCTGGCCCAGAGCAGACGTTGCAGACTGGCTCACAGGCAGGTAGCAAACTATTCGTGGATTATCCATACAAATACTCAAAATTAAAAAATATAGCTTTCCTCCCACAGTCCCCTGAGCAGCGTTGGGCTCAACGCTCCTTCGGAGGACTGTTCTAACAGGGATCTTTCCACACAGAGGATTCTGTGGGCCTACAATCCCTCCCTTCCTTCTCCTTTCTCTGAAAGCCTTTTTTTCTTCTTCCCAAGGGCCTGACTCTATTCAATCCTGACAGGATCCCTTACTGGAGCACAGGGGGGTGGGTTTTTTTCTGTCTCCCAGAACTTTCCCCCCCCAATCCAACCGTTACGGAGCTCGCGGCTGCAGCTCCGAAGGCCCAAAACCGGATCGATCCCCCCCCTCCATTCCAAACCGTTACGGAGCTTGCGGACGCAGCTCTGAAGGCCCGAAACCGGATCGATCCCAACGGCAATTACTTCGACGTCGGAGCTTGCGGCTGCAGCTCCGACGGGCGTCAAAGACTCTACCGGGTCGCTCCTAACCTTCCTGAGACCGGTGCAAGCGGCTACGGCTTTGAAGCCTTTGGGGCAGCCGGATCGATCTAAATTGAATCCCTTGGCGCCGGAGCTTGCGGCGGCAGCTCCGACGGCCTACGGGCGCCACTCTCCCGGCGTCGGAGCTCGCGCTGCAGCTCCGAGGGCAGTTAAGGGCCTGAAGGCCTCGGATCGCAATTTTTTTCAATTTCTCGATCCGGGAAGGTTTTCTGCGCCGGAGAACGGCGTTTCTACTTGGGCCCAGCAAGGCAAGGCCTGAGAGACCGGGGGAGGTGCTATCAGGCCGGATCGGCCGCCATTTTGTGGCGGCCACCATTTTGAATTCACTTAGTCAGGCCTCAAAACTAGGAAGGGGAGATTTTTTCTTTGTGTTCAGGCCTCAATTGATTAAATCGGCCCCATTAGATAGCAGACTCTCTCAGGGGTCACAGTACCAGAGCTTTGGGTATAAAAGAGGTAAATTGCCAAAATCCCTCAGGGGCTTCCCATTTAGCCTTGGTACAGGTCCAAGAGTTTGATTGGACCACCTGGTGTCTTAAGCCCTGGTCACCCTGGGCTTGCTGGTGTACAGTGGTTTTAGCCTCCGCGACTGTACTGTTACCACTTATAGTTTGCTGGCCTGGTAACACAGCAAGCCTCACCTGCAGCCTCTGGCCACTGCAGTGGGAACACTGTTATTGCAGGTACACTGGTCTTGGTACAGTACCACTGGTCTGGTGACTGGGGGGGGGATAGGGCAGCCTAATTAATACCTTGCTTTAGACCTTATCAGCCAATTGATCCCTTTCCAGGTGCGACCAACGAAGCACCTGACGAATTTGTACCAGCATGGAAGAGAATACGACCACTGAAACAAGGGTCGCATCTCCTCCTTCAGGGCGGAAAAGGCACAGGTCCCCTTCCCAGGAGGCTGCTGGTAGGATCGCAGCCAAGGCTAACAAGGCTGCTTCTGGGGGGAAAACCTCCAAATTGGCTGACAAACAGGCCAGCAGAAGACACCAGGCGCTAGAGAAGCAATTCTCAAAGGCTCAAAGACAGGCTAGTGCTGAAACTGCTCAGCCTGAGTCCACTTTCTTCGATCTACCTCTAGGGCTCTCTTCTTCTCCTCAGGAGGTATGGGCTCCTATAGAACCCCCCACTTCCTATGATCAAGCGGAGGTAGCAACGGAGGTGTTTACCTTCAGGTCACCACCTACCCCAAGGGCCCCACAGGGCCCAGCGGCCACCTTTACACCCACGGCCGCGGGACTCAGAGGGGAGGAGATATCCCTCTCTTCATTGGATGACAGGATCCAGGCCATAGTGAATAGGGCGCTGGAACGGGCATTTGTGGCCAGGCCTCCTTCAGTGCCCAGAGCGGAATCAGTGCTTTCCCTTCCTCTCTCGCACCCTGTACAACAGAGCTCTCGGGACCCTCCTTCTCCAGCCTGTTCCTCATTCAGTGGGGTTTCAGTGACCCCGGAGCAGGAACAGGCGCTCGATGCTTCATGGTCAGGGGAGGAGGAGGAACCGGCACCAGATCCGCCACCGTTCGGGGGGCTCTTTAATCCTTCTCTCTTTCTTCCTCTCCTCCGCAAAGCTAGCTCGGTTCCACATGGGGTTCCCAACCAGCCGGCCTCAGTGGCTTCCACGACTGAACCAGAGACGGATCGGGTCTTCATAGAACCGGTGATCACTCAGCACCATGTTCCATGCCCTGCTTTGTTTCTCAACACGATCAAGAAACAATGGGCCTCTCCGGGTACCTTCCCTTCCCCAGGTGGTAATGACAAGAAGCTGTTTAGTGTGGCTTCAGAATTAGAGGATGCATTACTGGTACCCACAGTAGATGAGCCCCTGTCCAATTTGTTCTCCCCCTCCACTATTTTGGGTGATATGGCAGAGGCCCTAAAATCGGAGGAGCGCAGATCGGAGATGGCCTTTAGGAGGTCACACCAGGCGGCAGCGTGGTCTATCAAAGCAGCCACCTCGGCCTCATTTTTCTCGAGGTCCGCTCTAATCTGGCTCCGTCAGTTACAGGCTAGGACCCCTCCGGAGGATGTCCGCACGCACCAGGACTTGAGCAAGTTAGTGGCTGCGACGGAATACGCCTCCGATGCATCCTTACATGCTGCCCGGTTTTCTTCTAGAACCTTGGCATCTAATGTGACTTCTCGCCGCCTGTTATGGTTAAGACACTGGCAGGCAGATGCCAAGGCAAAATGGCGTTTGGCAGCAGCTCCATACCAAGGTAGTAAGTTGTTTGGGGACGCCTTATCACCTTTTTTATCCGAAAACAAGGATAAGAAAAAGATCTTGGCCCACATTACCAAACGATCGGACAGGCGTCCTACCTACAATCGTAGGCAGTCCTTTCGTCCAGCTTCCACCCCTCAAAACACACAGCCTGCCTGGACCTTCACTCCCAGACAGGAACGCCAGGCGGACAGGCCAGCCCAGAGACCCAGACAGCAATTCCAGTCCAAACGGCCCTTTCGAGGCGGGGGTCGTCCCTTCCGTAGGAAGTGACCCTCGGCCGGAACCTCCCATTGGGGGACAGTTGTCCCTCTTCCTCGCTCAATGGGAGGCGACCACCACGGACGCCTGGGTCCTGGACACCATCAGACACGGCCTCTCCCTGGAATTCATTTCCAGTCCTCCAAGACGGTTCATTGCTTGCCCACACCCAAGAAAATCCCTTCGCAGGAATCTCATGCAGGAGGCCATCAGGCACCTATTAGACATCAGAGCCATAGAGCGCGTGCCTACGGCACAACAGGGACTAGGATTCTACTCCATCCTCTTTGTGGTTCCAAAAACATCTGGAGGATGGAGGGCAATCTTAGACCTAAAGCGCCTGAACCATTATTTGACATACCGAAGGTTCAAAATGCAAACACTTCAGTCTATCCTGGGCAGCATCCGAAAGGGGGACTATCTCACGTCGGTAGACCTCACAGAGGCCTACCTCCATATTCCCATCACCCACAATCATCGACAATTTCTCAGGTTTTATTACATGGGACATCATTACCAATACAGGGCACTCCCATTCGGCCTGTCGTCGGCCCCAAGGGTTTTCTTCAAGGTTCTGGCTGTCCTCGCGGCACACCTGAGATTGAAACCAATTCGGGTGCAATGTTACCTAGACGACATCTTAATTCGGTCGACCTCACCGCATGGAGCTCGGGCAGATGTCAGTCTGGTAATAAGTGTCCTACAGAATCATGGCTTTTCAGTCAATTTCAAGAAGAGCCAAATAGTCCCGGCAACCAGATTACTTCACCTGGGGGCAATCATCGACACAGTAGAGTGCCGAGTTTACCTGTCCCAGGAACGCAGAGACAGTATACGGAGCCTAGTTCTCAAGGTATGCAAAACAAAGACCTTGTCTCCGGTCGGTCTTTCCCAGCTCCTGGGGAAGATGATTTTGTGCATCTCGATCGTTCCCTGGGCCAGGTTACCCTCGCGGGACCTCCAATGGCTTCTGCTACCTTACCAGAAGCAGGGCACAAGCACTTCCACCCGAGAGGTAAGGATTCCTCCACACGTCCTATGTTCCCTCAGATGGTGGGTCTCCCCAGCTATGACCAGGGGATCCTTCAAGGAGCCGAGTCGGCTCACCATCACAACGGACGCCAGTCTGTTTGGATGGGGAGCCCACTATCGGTCTCAATGGGCACAGGGTCGGTGGTCTCGGTCGGACCTCAGTCACAATATCAACTGGCTGGAGCTAAGGGCCATACATCTTGCTCTTCGTCACTTCCGCCACGACATTACAAAACAACACGTGTTGGTCCTTACGGACAATGTGGCGGCGAAGGCCCACGTGAATCGGCAGGGGGGGACTCGGTCCCGAGCGCTCCTGACCGAAGCCCAGCAGTTGTGTTCCTGGGCAGAGACCAAGCTCGCCTCACTCAGAGCGGACCACATATCGGGGGAGGCGAACACGAGAGCAGACTTCCTGAGCAGGTCCACGGTGGACCACTCAGAGTGGCGCCTACACCCGAGACTATTCAGGGAGATCACGCACAGATTCGGGATGCCCATCATAGATCTCTTTGCCTCCAGGTCAAACACACAGCTCCCGTGGTTTCTTTCACGCTTTCCAACACCGGAGGCGGAAGGAATAGACGCCCTTCGGACGTCATGGCCGGACGGCCTACTCTATGCCTTTCCTCCCCTTCCCCTCCTCCCAGCAGTCATACGCAAGCTTCTGCAGGAAAAGGCAGAGGTGCTCCTAGTAGCCCCCTTCTGGCCGCGGAGACCTTGGTTTGCCGACCTAGTCGGCCTTTCCCAGTCGCGCCCTTGGAGGATTCCCCCAGACAGGATAGCCCTGACACAGGGGGACCTGATGCACCCGGACCCTCAATGGCTCCAGTTAGCCGTCTGGCACTTGAACGCCAGATCCTAATGCAGGAGTCATGCTCTTCGGGGGTCATTGAGGTGATCCAAGCAGCCCGTAGACCGGCTACTAACCGCATCTATGATGCAACGTGGCGGAACTTTTGCCAATGGTGTTCCTCGCGACAACTTCAGTCATCAGAACTCACCGTTCCACACATATTAGAGTACTTGTTAGGTGGACTGAACAAGGGATTAGCACCAAATACCTTACGTAGGCAAGTTGCGGCTCTTTCGATCGTACTTTCTTGTAGTGATACTGCCTCCTTGGGTCAGCATCCTCTGATCCGTTCCTTCCTCAAGGGCGCCACTAATATTAAACCCCCCGTGGTACACAGGTACCCCTCGTGGGAGTTACCAAGGGTTCTCCAAGCTCTTACAAGGGCCCCTTTCGAGCCCCTTAGTTCGTGCGACATGAGGTCCTTGACCATCAAGGTCGCCTTTTTGGTAGCTATTACTTCGGCCCGGTGGATCTCTGAGTTGGCGGCTCTCTCGGTCAGGGAAGACCTGTGTGTCTTCCACCGGGATCGGGTCGTCCTCCGCTTAGACCCCACCTTTGTTCCCAAAGTCAACTCCCTTTTCCATAGGGCCCAGGAGATCGTGCTTCCTGATTTCTGCCCGAATCCATCCCATACTCTAGAACGGCAGTGGCATTCCCTGGATGTTCG